TCTTTACTGAGAGAATCATCTTTTTTGAAGAATGTCAACGTTTGTTTACATTATGGTAATAATAACTAGATGAATGTTAAACAACAAGGTCCTCCATTTTCACTGTTGTGACTATTTATAAATAGACCAGCTTGTGATACAAGGTGCGTATCGTGTCGTTAACGGTGTGCACGATATTTTCGAATTTTCCCAGTGATATAGTGTAAAGTGATTTTCATTTTTTGGCGCGATGAAACACAAACATTGTCATGAGCAGTACAACTGATGGCAGAAGAAGTAAATTAAAAGGGAAATCAAAAACAAGCCATTTTTCTGTTAGATCCCTGCCCACCCAAGAAATAAATAAAAGTGAATATCTAGATGTAGACAGACGATAAGAACGTACATAAATAAATATAATAATATAATAAAAATGGTTGATTCTAATAAGGATGATCAAGTCAATAAAAATATGACTGATAACGTTTCTTCACAAATTATACAGGGTGCAACTAAATCATCAGGTGCTATTAATGAATTTGAAAACATGGATATTTTTAAGCCAAAACATAATGTGTTGCGTACACCTCCAAAAATAGTACACACACAAGATCGGGTGAATACAGAACAATTTTCTAATAAGAGATTGAGACCAGAAGTGGCGGAAAATCATAAAAAGAGACAAGGGAAACCTAATGAAAATGGAAATAGACCTGCAAAAATTAATTTTTCCGGAATTTTCATTCAGAAAATGTTTGACAATTTAGATACAGTTAACGAATTGGCAAATAAAACAGTTGGAATGTTCTCTTAATAGTGATTAACTATGGTTGTATAGAGACTTGGTTAGTCAGACGTCAAAAATGATTAACCAAGAAGAAGAAAAGCAGACGTGCTGACAACTACCATAGATAAAAACCACAATAGTACATACACCAGCACTGATGTGAACACTATTAACAAAAAAAGTGGATCGTGGGTAACGCCAACAACTAACAAGAGGCACGAAGCGATTATTCGAAAATGTCACAGATCCAAAATAAGCCCTCAAACAGTTTAAAAAACGAGATAAACAATACGAATGTTGGAAAAGGTTTTAAAAGTGTCAAGTAAACCAAAAGCGGCGTTATAATTGTGGCAAGTTTTGACAAAGATTAGCAAAATAAATTAAAAGTTACCATACAAGAAGAACATCTGAAAATTAAGGAGTCCCAAACAAATGACCCCCATGTTTATGGTAACTGGAATTCCAAAGGACTTTTCAAATGAAGACTTTCTTGAGCAATTAGAAGGACTGAACGACGAAATTGTACAGGAACTTGGTTATAATATATGTGACAAAATCCAAGTAATAGCGAAAACGCAGTGTCGCAATCCGACTAAGGAAAACTGGATTCTTCAAGCCCCGCCACCCATCTCAAAATGGTTTTTGAAAAAAGGGGAAATATTTTTCGATCTGGTGATGGTTTACGTACAAGATTTGGTCATGTAACTAAATATTGCTCTGAGGAAGAATGTTGTCACAAATGTGGGAAGGAACACAATGCTTCGGATTGTACTGAAAATGTTTTAAAATGTTCAAACTCCATAAAGTTAAAGCTAGATTATTTGAACCACTCTATCAGAGACAAAAGTTGCCCGGCATATAGAAGAAGGTTAAAAGCATTTAGAAATAATATTAATTATAATTTTTTATAAAAGGGACCCCAATAGTTGTCGGTGCCGGTTAAACGAGTGTGTTAAAAATACTTTAGTTGATAAAGGTAGACACTCTGCAGATGAATGCTCCATAATTCATCAAAACGTCCAATCGTTAAGCAAAGCGGCGGACGGCATAAATAATATGCTTCAAAATAACTTTTCATGTAAATTGTTGTGCGTAACAGAACACTGGAAAACTCGGGAAGAATTAAAAACGTTAGTGATAAAAGACTTGGACCTAGTAAGTGCCTTTTGTCGAGAACATGGAGAACATGGTGAAAGCGTTATTTCCGTGCATAAATGTGTGAGGTGTAAACCGAGAAATAACCTAAGTGAATTATTAATAAAAAAAGTTTTTGAGTGCGCAGCAGTAGAGTGCACATTTAAGAAAGATGGGTTAATAGTTTTGTCCATTTACAGACCTCCATCAAGAACTATATTGCTTATAAAAGGTAGTCGTAAATATTTTTAAGGAAAATAAAAAAATTGTTATAGCGGGGGATTTTAACATAGACATGCTTACAGAACACAAATTAAACTTAATTTCACTAATTTGCTCATTTAACTTTTTGCCTACGGTTTTTGAAAACACAAGGGTAACGTCACATACAGCAAGCTGTATTGACAACATCTTTGTGGAAACACTCTAGTATTTGACGCTTTCATTTCTGATCATACTGCTCAGAAATTTACATTACCTTTAGATAATTTTAAACAACATACGGCTCATTTTAGAAGAATCTTTTCAGAAAAAAATAAGCAAACTTTTATAAACCGTCTAAAAGAACAAAAGTGGGAGGATGTAATTATAACAGAAACGGATGTTATCATTCAAGATTGGAACTCTTTTATGAATCTTTTCTCTACACTGTTTGATCAATGCTTTCCTAAAAAAACAAGAAACTTTCGTGGTGTAAAATCATATAAAGATAATGGTGAGATTAAAGAATGTAAACGAAAACTAGATATCTTGTTAGTTTCGGCTAGACAAAGTGCTCGATGTAAACTGGAATACAGAGTTGTTGAGTGAAAATATGATACTCTTTTGTAAACTGAACGATCTCAAGCATATGACATTAAGCTAAAGCTTTCTGATAATAAAACCAAATGCGTGTGGTCAATATTCAATGAGATTTTGGGTAGCAACAGTTTAGGGGCTGATATTGGTATGAGTGGGGATCCAAATCAAATTTCAAATGATATTAATGAATATGTGTTGAACGTGGTACCTGAATTATTGGAAAACCTAGAAAAAAGGCCTTTTTCCAATAAAATACCACTAAAATCACAGTCCATGTTTTTAACACCGGTAACACCAGAAGAAATCTGTCATTTTGCTGGACAAATTAAAAATGAACATAGTAGAGGAATAGACGAGATTCCAACCAGTATAATAAAAATTTCTGTCCCGTATGTTAGTAAAGTGTTGTCTTTTGATTAATGAATCCTTTGAAAATGGCGTTTTCCCAGACCAACTTAAGACAGCTTTAATAAAACCGCTCTATAAAAAAGGAGATCCAGAAATAATTACCAATTACAGACCAATTAGCCTTTTGCACTGGTTTCTAGGAAATAAATTGATATTAAACAAAGAGAAAACGAATTTAATTATGTTTAGAACTAAATTATGTAGAGTTGAAATACCATTAGGAATAGGAATAGGTAAAGAAAATATTAGTATTGTAAATAGCACTAAATTCTTAGCTTTACAAATTGACGAATTTTTTGACTTGTCTGAACATATTGATTATCTGCTAAATAAATTAAATTCAATTTGTTATGGAATTAGAGGCTTTGCAAATTATATTTAAAAATTATGCAAACTTTTAGTCGCGCATGAGGTATGGAATTATCTTTTGAGGGGGTAGTGGTCAACTACAGATAATGTTCGTGGTTCAAAAGAGGACTCTTCGCACTGTCAAAAAAATGCAATTTAGAGAGAGCTGTAGAGGGGTGTTCAAGGCTGAAGGCATTTTTACTGTATATGCTTTATATATTTATGAAGCATTGATATTTTTTAAAAATCGAAAAGACTTCGAACTACAGATATTTCGTAGACATAATACCAGAACCCTAAATCTAAATTACCACCGTTTAACCTTAACTGGAGGAGTTATATAATAAATTACCAAATGAGGTAAAAACAATTGCAAATCTAAAAATATTTAAATACACAATAAAAAAGTTTTTGATAGAGTTAGAACCTTACTCCATAGAAGATTTTTTCTGTAATATTTAAATAATTTTTTAGTTAATACGATGTAATTAAAATTTGTAACAATATCTAGTCCTTTTTTAACGCCGATTTCCCTTTGTGTGTGGTATATTATTTTTAGGTAATTTATTTATGACACAATGTGAAATATATTTTATTATTAATGTCGTCGAATGTAATGTACTGCAATAAAATCCATGAAAACAGCGATAAAGTTAAGTTACTAACGCCACATTAATGCATATACGAATCACGTGTAATTGTTATTAGCGACGACTTTAATAAGCACTTAATTCGTCAAGATACTTCAGGAAAATTATGAATAATAAGGAGTCTTTTTTAGTAAAGATCTCAACAGCAAAGCAAAGATAAGAGTTTTTTTCAATTGACAATTTGGAATGCAGTAGGTACAAAATTTTGCTATAGACTTATCGTCTGCTCGCTGTACGCTGTCGGTCGTGTGTGTGAGCACCTTTAGAATATCATCGTCCAATAATAAACATATTGTTCAAAACGATTTTCTTGGAAGGTGTGTTTATGAAAAAAAAAACAACCACGGTTCATGCGCATGGTCGGAACGTGAATGCCTACATGAATACTAATTTCGAGGATGATGGTTCATTGACTACGAAATGCGAGGCGGTGATGGCAAATGAAGCCAGTCCTGAAATTTGTTGGAGAGTATTTTTGGTTTTTTGGGTTGGGCTACCGCAAAGAGGAAACTAATTAAAGGAGGGTAATGAATTAATCGGCATACTATTATTCTATGCCTGTAGCGCAACTATTGAGTTACGACTTATGTATGCGTTTCCGCCATTATCTGCACCAGCGGCGCTAGCTGAAAAAAGAGTACCTAAAAATTATCTAAATCAAAAATTTCGCTTTTAGTATAAAACTGTACAAGCAGTATTTTTTAATTGTTGGTATTTTTCTGTTTTGTGAAATAATTCTAACTTTTGTTTTACTATTCGGGTTTAGAGGTACCGTTATCGCTACCGTACTCGTTATTCAAAAACTTTGCCTTTCAAATAGAAACGGTAATATTTTGGAATTGATGTAATATTATATATAATTTTATAATATATTTTTTATTAAACATTTTCAGGTTAACGTAGCTGTCTATTACGAGTCTCTCTGCCCGGATTCCAGGAAGTTCTTCACCCAGCAGCTGTATCCCTCCTTGCAGGGGAATCTCTCTCATTACGTCAACTTGACTCTCGTTCCTTACGGCAAAGCCACGGTAAGATCATTTCACAATTGCCATTTTTTTGCGTTTAAATCTTTGATGCTTCGCTAGATAATCGATATAGCTACACTATGTATTATTTAAAAACTACACAGGTATGTACATTTAACCAAAATTCCTGCCTTTCTTTTTTTTTCGTTTTTCTTCTGTGTTCGCTAGTTTAGATACAACTAGCTTGTTATTTTCAAATAAAAAATCGAATAATATATTTAATTTTTAAAAAATCATGTGAGATCATTAAACAAAGTTAAGGTGAGGTATTAATTGGAAACCCAAATAAAATGCCATTTTCCGCGTTAACTGTCGTGGGCTGTATGTCGAAATTACCAAGTCGTTAGACGCGTGACTCAGTATTTAAGCAGGGTCCGGACAGAATAATTCATTTCTGGGTTGCGTAGCGTTACCTATTGTTTATCTTATATGTTAGGACCGCTTTACTCTCGAGCAAAATTATAGTATATGTAACCTGAAATAAAGATAATACAATTTTTTTCCCAAAGTTACATTTTCAAAACTATACAGAATCACAACTTGCATCCTTTCGAAGAACGCAAGCAATAATCCGGATATAACTAAAATGCCTAAGCATAATATATTTACATGTAACAAAACGACATTAAAAATTACAAGGAAAAGTTCGGACCAATAGATAACTACAGATATTTATTAGGTTCAGAACACTATTAATAGAATCATAAAAACGACAATCCAGAAATCTAGTAATTTTAATTAGTACTTGCTCCCTTTTGTAACAGGGTCAATTATTTCGAGGCTACGAGTTCGTCGGACGGACTATTTTACTAGTTTAAGATGCTACTTATGGTTAAGATTATTTTTAAACAGACGTTTTTCTTCTTAACGGATTATATATTTTAAAATTGTCAAGTACAAGTAATATATCGCCTCATTCCACATAATGTTTATTCCCTGCCCCCAACAATCGTGTTCTGGTCGTGTCCGTACTCGCTCATGGTCACATCACAGAATAATTATCGTTGGGTTAATCGGTCAAGGGCACTCTCCCATTCCAGGGAACGCAATACCGTCCGGTTAAGTAATTATTAACCGATAGTAAATAAACGTTGGTCGAAGAGATCCGAAATGTAGTAACCTGTCGTTTTTATGATTTGAAATTGTTTTAGTTTTAAACGAAGTTTATGTTCACAGAAAATTAAATTGATTCTTAACTCTATATACTCTATACCAACTCTACTTTGAGAAAAATGTGCAAACAGTGTTGCGGTAACAGATAATTTAATCTACTTTTGGTGCTTGCCCTACTCGATTTTTTTTCGGATGGTTTCAGATGGAATTTAAAACAAACGAGCACGAGTTCACCTGTCATCACGGACCGAGCGAATGTCTTGGGAACAAGATTCAGGCCTGCGCACTGCACCTTATCGAGCAGGGCCGCAAAACGCAAGGCCTTGGGTTTAACAGGTGCGGAAATGCGAAAGTCTTTTCTGAATCGTGAAGGTTTTGTTTTTAGGGTAACCGTGGGCTTCATCAACTGTTTGATGGACAAGGCGGAGCGCAATGGCGATCAGGCGACGTTCCCGACCAAAGATTGCGCTGAACTGAATCACGTAGCCGTATTGGATCTTATCAATAATTGCGCCCACCATACCGATGGTGAGATCCTATTCATAAATTTATTGTTAATTTTGGTTAATTGGTATGGAAACGTTAGCGCAACCTAAGGATTTTATAGTTCTCTTTTTCATTGTGTGTGTTTAATTAACAATTTTCAGGAAGGTTTTATATTGGCATAACTAAAAAATTAACTTTTTGCACTACTTGCTACTTATAAAGGAAAAAACTCATTCAGTTCATTATCTTTTTCTTCTTTTTTTCACAAGATATTGGTCGGAATATTGTGATCATTGCCACGATCAACTATAACCCTAATGGTAGAACGGTAGACCAATAGAATTAATAACCCTAGAAGACTGGCCTAGAGAGAAACTCCTCACGAAAAAAAAAAGAGAGAGGAATGGCAGTGGGGATAGTATGGGCCTGCGCGGATTTGTGTATATAGTAGCTTTGTTAGAACCACACTCAGCAACCGGTTTGGAACTGTAAATTCCTGTCACTCAGCTGATATTTGTTAGGCAAAACACATCCATCCTATCAAAAAGTCTTATTACAATTGTAACAAAGCTTATATGTACAGATTAGTTCCCTTTCTCGCATTTCATCCTCATCCTTCTTCTGTCTCTCCAGCTTGCGTCTTTTAAACCTCATAGTGCTTCTGATTCCTTTTTGCCATTCTAATCTTGATCTTCCCCTTCTTCATTGTAAGGTGTTTTTTCTCTCTTACAACCTAATCTAGATTCACCAGCACTTCTCAAAAATTCCGTTTCGACAGCAAGAAGTCTGTCCTGTACGTAAATTATATGTACGAGGTGTGTTCAAAAAGTAAGGTGACTCTTAAGTTTTATCAAAAAGTATTTACTTATTTATCAAAATTAATGTTGTCCCCTTCAAAGTAATCCCCCCAGATATAATACACTTACTCGTTTTGCCCAATCCTCGAAGCACTTTTTGTGGTATAACCTTGATTTATTCCTTTCTTTATCTCCTCAATCGTTCCAAACCTTCTTCCTTTCATTGGTTTCTTGAGTTTTGGGAACAGAAAAAAGTCGCAAAGGACCATATCCGGTTAATATAGTGACTGAGGCATGATTGTGGTTTTGTTTTTGGCCAAAAAGTTAGACACAAGCAACGATAAGTGAGCAGATGCATTATCGTGATGCAAAATCTATGAATTGTTTTCCCACAATTCCGGACATTTTATTTGTATTGCTCCTCGCACATGGCCCATAACTTCAAGGTAATATTCTTTATTGACCATTCGATCTTGTGTTAAGATCTCGTGATGTACTTACTACGCCACGATAACCAAAGAAAACAGTAAGAAAAACCTTGACATTTGATCAAACTTACTTTTTTGGGACGACTGGGCTTTGGTGTCGACCATAACCATATACCCATTATTCGTCCTAACAGTTATGACCTTTTTGAACATATCAGGAACATCATTGACATCGTTTAACAGCTCTTGAGCGATGCTTCTTCGACGGTCCCTTTGTTCAAAATTAAACAGTTTCGGGAAAAATTTTGCTGCTACACATTTCATGCCCAAAACTTCGGAAAAAATTGCATGGCACTAGCCAATAGAGATGCCGACGTCTTCAGTCAGTTAGTGAATCGATGATTTTTCAACACCGTTTGTTTCACTTCTTCAACGCTTTCATCAGTTATGGACGTGCTGGGGCGTCCAGAGCGAGGTTCGTCATCGGCGTCTTTTCGGACATCTTGGAACAGCTTATACCACATTGTAAACATTTTTTTTTGCTCAAAGTAAATTCACCATATGCCGTTTTTAACATTTCCAGTGTTTTGCATCACTGGTATACCATTTTTTAAACAAAATTGAATTCAAATTCTTTGTTCCATTTTTTTTTGACAGCAGAAAATCTCCGAGCTTACAAAACAAACTAACGCTTCGGTCTCACAAACAAAGAAAACTTGCAAATCGGTGAAACTGTGAACATATGTTAGGGACATGTGTACCAACATAACAAAAAAATATCGAAGACCAAATGTACGTGGCCCTCCCAATTACGAAAGTCAACTCACTTTTTGAACACACCTCGTATATTTATAGAACATCCATATTTCAACACCATAGGTAATATTTTTTTTTTATTTTTTTTAATATTAATATTTAATTAATAATTTAATTTAATTAAAATTAAATAATTAAATAATAATTATTTAATATTAATAATAAATATTAATAAGGGCGTGGCCTGATAATTATTTTTCCTGGCCCTATTTTCCTTTCAATGTCCTGGGTAATTGTATTCCAATTGTTTTGCCTTTTATATTGGGTTTGTTAGATTTAGACTATTAATAAATTAGCACTCGGGCTATGGGAAACGAACTAGACGCCTCTTTTTCCTGAGGCTTATGCAGCAAACCACTTGGACTTGATGTTTATTTTAACAGTGACCTTACAATATTGTTCATCAATTGTTAATTACGCGGTGCTAACAGGGTGTTTTCTAATCTGATCAATTTTTTAATCATATATTAAGTCCTGCGTTGGTTGTTTACAAATCAAACTTGTTGACGTTTCGCCAATCATCCTGTTGGCTTCTTCAGAGCATAACTGAAACTTATTAAGATAGTAATATACTTGCACTGTTGCCACATATATAAGAAACAACAATCTTCTTTGGTTAACCGTTTGCGTCAGACATAAGATTTTGTTTTGTCTTGAACAGGTCCACATGTGCAATTATCTCTCAACTCCAGCATTTCTTTCTGACACATGGATGTTCTGTCTCTCTTCGTGAGTGAATCGGTTTATGTATTCCTACATATCAGCCTTCTAGGAGTATAAATTCTACGGGTAAACTAGTAAAAGTTAGGTGTCGATATAGTCACGTGATCCACTCCAAACAAGTCTCCATGCTTTATTTGTATAAGCGGGAAAATAACAATAATGATAATAATCTTAATAACATAATATCTTTCCATTGAGCGAGTCGTACGTCTGGCAGATTATTCCATAAGACTTCCTACATCCGGTAAATCGTTCATTTCAGCCTCAAATTACTTGGCAAATTATGGAGCCTTGACCGACGCCATCCAGAAACCATTGAAATATGTGCCGACCATAGTGTTTAACAACCAATACAAACAAGAGGACAACACTTTGGCCCAAACCAATTTCGTTAAAGCTCTTTGCCAGTACATCAACGGTGAAAAGCCCATGGAGTGTAGCGGCGCCAGTTCTGTTGCCGTTTCATTGGGGTTTCTGATCCTGTCGGGGATGATTCCAAGATTATTCCGTTAAGAGGTTAGTTAGTATGTGCACAAAAATATTTAAATTCCAAATAGTTGTCTGTTTGATTTATAAAGGAACTTCGAGTTCGTGGTTGGAAACTCTAAAGCCATAACCTATAAACATTTTCTTTGTTAGAATTTTTGTTTGACTTTTTTAATTAATGTTCTCAGCGACTGAATGATTACAACTAGGTCGGCATTTCCATAGCCACAACTGATGTTGTATCATCATTATTATGACCGCAAGGTCAACACGTTCATGAAGCTGGTGAAAACATGGTTATCGAGTTATCAAGTCGAAAACTGTAACTTTTGATTAAAATGTATAATTTTGATTAAATTAGATGTATGACATTCGCAACGTCTCTTTAAAGAAGAATATAAGCTATACCAATCATCAAATGATGACGTCATTCCCATTCAGCCGTAGTTCAACCACATCCGCGAACTTCTTTTATAAATTCGTTGTAACGTCCCTCTGTACGAGTCTGATATTTGAAAAAATGAGTGTACTTACAATTCGTCTCTTATTGAATCTCAGTATTTTGAAATATTTTTGTTATTGTTATTTTTTTATAATCGTTGACCAAGTAATAAGTACCTTCAACATGCCTTAGAGGAAAAAAGCCTCCTCACCCAAATGTTTTTTAAACGTTTAAATGTGTATAAAATAGATTTAGTCCAAATATATAATAATAATATACAGTTTACTTAATAAATAGTTCCGACCACTTTGTGTTTTATATCATTTCCCTCCCACTTAATCCCAATTCAAATATTTACCCAAGTAAACTTTTTGCCACTTCGAACTAGGTTATAACGGGTCGCAGATCACTGACTGGTACAAATTATTTCTGTTAGACGCTAATTCCTTTTGCTAGCGTCACAACAATTGAAGCGATGCTAATATGATGCTAATTGACGCAAGTCCAAACGATAGCAAATTGCATTTAATTCATTTTGAGGTGAAAAGGAGTATTACTTTAGAAATGAGTCACTCCATCTGCATCAAAAATTGAACTACTTTAGCAGTAGACGTCCAAGGAGACATCTGTCTTCTTAAGCGGGCAGCATTTATTAATTATTCTTAAATATTTGGAGAAATTATTGGCAGTCCTACAAGATGTGAAGGTCTGAATGTACGAGACTTTATCAACTGAAAATACCGATTCTGCCCAAAAACCTCTGATATAGCAAACTTTTTCAATTTTGAGGAGGCGCCCTCAAAAAAAACTCCACAGACGGGTATAGGACATCGAGGTTCGGAAATCGCTTCGACGTAAGACCGAATTTTTTCCTCCCGCCCATAGGTAACGCGTACCTCACCAACTTCAAACCCTCCTCAATTTTGAGGACCGAACTTTTCATCCCCAAATGTAGTCCGGGGCCGTCGGAATCCAACGCAGCAAGCTGCGTTTCAATCCAACCACCCGCCTACAAAATAATTTTTCCTCCCGAAGAAGATGCCGAAATCCGTTTTCTCGTAATAAGAGCAGCCGTTTCGTCGTACCTCTCATCAACTGTAGAACCCTCAATTTTGAGGGGGAAATATTTCAGCTTTTTATAGGTAGCCCAGATACTAGTATCCCATAAAAGTTTTGGTGCCGATCCAATCAAAAAAACGCCAAAAACGTGTTCGCGCTTAAGTGTCCAGTTTAATGCTTTTTAATTATTCTCTATTTAACCCCCTTTTGGTAGTTTGTAATCGTTTGTACCTCTTGGTTGTGTACAATTTTCTGAATAAAATAATATTTGATTTTCATATTTCATTTCGAAACGACTTTATTTTTTAGGTGTGATTTAAAATTTCACTTACCATTTGCTTTCTAGGTACAGTTGCTCGATTCAATTTATAATTTCGATTATTTAAATTACCCAAAATCGGCAAACAACTACTGGTTTGCACGCTTCCCGTAATATCGGGAATTGCTCAAAGATTTGGGATCTCTTATTATTTTCATTAACTATATTTCAACTTGTAAATATTCTGTTATGCGAATGATTTGAAACTTTTTCCACAGGTGTCAAGTGTTCCAATTGCTTTTAATTCAATTATTTATTAATTAAATGTTATTGGTCAGATACAGACGCAGTGATTTTAGACTTGTCATGAATTATAGTGAAGTATTATCTCACAAGTTTTATATTTATGTTATCTACTCGAGAGTTTCACAGAAGAAGGTTTTGGCAGCTATATTTTGTGTAAATTAGCAAATTTTTATTAATATATTGACTTTTGTGGAATTTTCGTTCCACAATCTATAGGGATTCTTCAATTTCAAAATGGTTAGCGGTGCGTAAAAAAAAACGACACGTTTATGTTCAGAACAGTTTAATATCTTAAAAGAAATCGGAGGTACCTCACCAATTTAATGAACATTTACTTATGACAAAGAAATAAAACAAATACCGCATGTAAAAATAAAAATTTGTATAGAAAAAAGCTCGCGCAGCACAACTAGGATACTTTAGTAGAATATATTCAATTATTCCCCACAATTAAAAAACAAAAAAAAAATGATTTACCGGCTCAGCACAAACTCCTATAAACTCACAACAGCATAATTAGAATAGTTACCTCTCATACTAAACATTTTTTATCAGTTCACGGAATATTCCCTAAAAATTTCAGTAACATAACAGACTTTTTTGGTAATTACATTTCAGAATCAAAGCCCTATCCCTAACTGAAAAATGCTTTCATTAAGAATGCTCCCAAACCGAACGATCACAAATTGAACGCTACTCACTGCCAAGATTAAGCTTACCTCGTTATTTGAAATACAACCCCTCAGTTTGCTTGAAATCCGGAGGCATTATCAGCGACTCTATGAACTGGTTGTACGATAAGAAAAACACTTCCCATTGCATAGTTTTGCAGAGCTCCTTATATAACAGAGCGCATCGCTTTGACAATTCAGCAACGCACAACTTTTGCTGGTCGCTGTTCAGCGGGAAATTGCCGATCCTGCCGCTGATCGAGCTCAGCTTCATCCGCAATTCGATCGAAGACTCCGGCACCGACGTCAAAGTCTGCTCTTGCAGCTCCAAAAACTCGTAGAACAACCCGGCTTGATTGTGCCACTGTCTAATACCCTTGGATCCGGAGGATATCTTGTCCACCAGGTTTTTGAGGACGTCGAATTGTTCGTTGATGAATAAATTAGGTAGCAGGTGATCGATAAGTATATTGTTGGCCGCGATGTAGTCTTTCGCCAGAGCGAAATGATTGAACGCTTGTAGGTATCGTTCGAGGTGCAGACACTTGTAGCCTTTAACTTTGTGCACCCATTCGGCCGGTATATGCATGTCGTTGATCAAGGTGTCGACGATTTCTTGCCTTTCGCCGTCGCTCTCGGGGCTCAAATTACGATCCAAAATGCCCATAATTAGCGTTTCCTTGGCCGAACTGTCCTCGAGATACAGAAGAACGAATACCGCCCATTCCCAATGGCCGAGCTCCTCCAATTGATTCGAGAAACTCGTGCACAGTTTATTGGCCTCCGACACCTCTATCAGACCTACCTTCAGCGACAGGAACAACTGAAGCAGAAGCCAGCTGAAATTTAACCCGAACGTGAATCGAATGACGGAAATGGCAATATCAAATAGTCCAACCTCAATCTGTAGTCCAAGGGATCGTCTGTGACGGTGGCCGGATTTAAAACGCTACTCAGTCTGTGTATTCCGGACTTGTATAGCATGAGAATGTGGTAGATTACGTCAAAGGGACCTTCGTCGGAACCCGATTCCGTCGAATAGACTGGACTGGGATGTTTGGCATAATAAAATTCTTCGAATGATTTTTTGTATAATTCAATCGCCATTTCTACTGGCGCGCCAGCTGGGCACATATACCTAGGAAAAATCGGCTCATTTGAACTACTTCGAAGATACCATGGCCATGTTCCGATAAAACGCAAAATTTAACCATATTTACGGCAATATTGACAGTCTTGATGGTCAGCGAATTCGTCAGGTTCGTTAAAAGTCGGTGGAGATATTAAAGATCTGTATTGTTGGTTATAACTGTAATGGATATGTTCCCGGAAAAATTAGACTTAAATTTAGTTTATTTTTGACATATTTGATATGATATTTTTAGAAATCATTAAGAAGAGATGTATCTATGCTGATAATTGAGCCACTTTTAAAACCAGCATCAGTCTACTGTAAGAAAGAACATGGGAATATTTTCGGACCTGATCAAGACATTCGAAGCTGTTTTTTGTTTTGGAATACAAAGACTTGTTTAGATATGAGTTATATGAGTTAAGAAATGTTTACCTAAATAATATAAATGCAAAATAATGGTAATATTTATTGTTTCCCTAATGACACTGTTTTAATTTTTAGGGGTGATGCTTAAGGCTATATAAAAATCTAAACATGTAATTAATAGGATGAAAGTTTTTTTGGTTAGTTCCACTCACTAAAGTCTGATCTGAATTTGAAGAACTTACCAAGCATAAAGGATCGAACTCTATGTAATTTTAACAGCAAAATGCAAAAACATGTGAAAATAAAATCGTGAGAGAAAAAAATTTCAAATATTTAATGTGTGTGCTTATTGTATTTAGATAGGTAAAAATCTAAAATAGTCGTATCAGGAAGAGTATGTTATAAGCAAAGTTAGGAAGCTTTAAGTTTTATATCTGGGGCAGTGCATCTGGGAATTCTATGTCTACATTGCAAATGGCACAAAAATATACAATAAATATGATGCGGGTTAAACCTAGGCTCTAGCCAACATTTATTATTAACGTCAACTTATTATAGAAATCAGGATTAGTTGTTCACAAGAATTGCGGCAAATCATGACCTGATACTTTATATTGGTTACAAAATATTCACAGTATTAGAAGTAAGAAATATTACAAAGAAAAAAAAATCATAACTGAATATTGCAAACAAATATCAAGTTATTAGTTGATGTACAAGTCATTTAGGCTCTGTATTTTTGCAATTGAGGAATATTCATAAATCTATATTTACTGTTATTGGCTCTGGAGTTTTCGACTAGTAAAGGCCATCTACAAAAGTGCTAGAAAAAAAGGATTTCCTCAAGATTAAAAAAAAGGTAGCATTTCACCCCTGAAGGAAAGGAGAAAATGCGAACAAACTCTGAAAAATAAATGAAAGGGATTTTTATATAACGCTTGAAAATTTCACAAAACAATTACAAAAAATATATTCAGAGACTTTAAAAATAACAAGAAAAAAAAAGAAAAGAAAAGAAGGACTACTTTGTCTACTGACATGTATTGGGATGGTTAGGAGAGATGCAACAATTTGAACGGATTTTTTTTTACAAGTATTGTTCATTAGGCAGTTTTAGTTTTATATGTTTGAAAATTTTCTTGGGTTTCCATTTTTTTTTTAAATTAATTTATAATTCATTCAAGACTAAAACAATTATGCGATTTCGTGGGAGTACAACATAACACATGTTCCATTCAGCCACACGTTGGCTTTAATTGCTTCCTGGCGTAAAAAGGATACTGAAAATTTTTGAGGGATTAAAAAGATTTTTTTTTTCTGAGGAAAAAGCTCCGAAAATCTTATTGATATTTTTCAATAATCCCTAGAGTGAAACTATCTATGGTCAATTGCATGTGTTTCAAAAAGGAATTAAAAAAAATAGAAGGTAATAAGAAATACTGAATTGAAGTTTATTCAATATTGGAAGCTAGACAACGTAATGTTTTCTTACAAATCAGTGTAAAAAATG